TACCAGGCTTCGAGACCCTTGTTTGCTATCGCATGGCCCGCCCCGACTCAGGTTCTTCCAGAAGCTGGAGGAAGAAACCCTTCAGACAGACGAGGGATAAATAAAAAATGTACTGCCAGAAACCTTTATTAAGCAAAAACATCAAATTGTGAAGCTATCGTTTCTTGACCCAGCCTCCTCTAAGTGTAGACACTGCTGAAGGCACTGTTTGCACCTCTCTGCCCCTTCCTCAAGGAAGTCTACCTTCTCCGATTCACACCGTCTTAAACCGGCAGTTTGGACATTCTCAAGAGACTCACATCGGATCCTTGTTCAATGTCCTTCAAGCTTTGGAACGAACGACAAGTCCAAAGGGACAAGACTGGGGCTGCACGGAGGATCGGGTATGATTCCCCAGTGAAATTCTCACAGGACAGCCTTCCCTGCTGCTCTCAAAGAAAGAGCAGGTGCATTGTTGTGACGGGCATTTCCTTGGCCTTTTTCTTACCAATGAAGTTTTCAATTTTGTCAAAGCTTCTTCATAAGCCCCCATGATCATCTCATATGCTCCAGGAGAGCCAATCAGGATGACCCCTTGGAGAGGGTGTGTGTGTCCCAAAACACAGGTAGCATAACCTGAGCTGACCTCTCAGCCTTGAGCCTAACTGGACCTTTGTATTTTTTTTTTGTTCGAAAGGCACGCTAGTGAGAGTAAAGTTTTCTTGGTGATGCGGTGGGTCAAGTGCTGGCCTGCAAGCTGCACGTTTGATGCAAATTCACAAGTCATTCCACGGGGAAAAAGATGAGACTGAGATGTTCCTTTAAAGACAGCAGTCTCAGAAACCGTAAGAAGCAGTTCTCCACTGTCCTACAGGGTCACTCTGTGTCAATCACTGACTTGACGGCAATGGCTTTGGCCTTTGGGCTTAACAAGTCTAAGATAAGAACTGTCTGCAGTCATCCAATGATTGCACACCCGTAAGACCAGTTTAAACACATTTTGTTTGGAGCAAACCTGGGATGTGGGAAGCGGGCCCCTCATACCCACAGCTACCGAGCCAATTCCACTCAGAGCCGAGCCATAGGCTGCTGTGAAGGTGAGCAGAGCTTTGTCGTCCTCCCAAGGAGGTTAGCAGTGTCACCTTGTGGCAGTGCACTGTCACCAAGAGTCCTTGGGATACCTTTAGACTTACTCTCATACTTCATTTCTGAAAGAAGGGTGCTGTTGTTTTTTCAGTCATTTTATTGGGAGCTCTTATCACAGTCCATACATCCATCCATGGTGTCAAACACATCTGTACATATGTTGTCATCATCTTTTTCTAACAGTTTCTTTTTACTTGAGCCCCTGGCATCAGCTCATTTTGCCCCCTCCCTCCCCCCTTCCTAATTTATAAGTTCTTCTTCATTTTTTTTCTCTCCATGTCTTACACCAGCTGCTGTCTCATTTCACCCACTTTTCTGCTGTTCATCCCCCTGGCATGGGGCATACATCGATTATTGTGAACCCTCCCCCCCACCCCCCACAACCCTTAACCTCCTAGTATCACTGCTCCCCTTATTGGTCCTAAGGGGTTTATCTGCCCTGGATTCCCTGTGCTGCAAGCTCTTATCTGTACCAGTATACATGGTCTAGTCTACCCAGATTTGTAAGAT